TGGACTGGCTGATGCTCTGGACGATTGTGATCAAACGTCTTAGTCCAGCCAAGAAGGAATTTCTGCTGTAGGCAGTGAAGAAGCCCCGTAAAAGGAAGAAGGCGTTGACGCCGCCATACCTGCAAGGATTGTCGATATCATGTTGTGCATGAACTGGTACCACGAGGCACGTTCAAACACGCGAGGGATTTACGGATTCCATCTCAGTGCGGTCAGGTGCGCGGCAGGACTACTTGAGCCCGTTATTGTCCGATTTGGTGATCGATTACTTTGTTTAAGAAGAATCGGGAGCTAGATACGGAATATCTAGCAAGTGGGTGACGGCCATGTCCTACGCAGATGACGTCGCCCCACAGCTTTGGTGGTTTTTTATCTGCAGTAGAGAGTTTGACAAGTTCACTGCTAGAGAGTTTTCATCTTCACAAATACGCGACCATGCATCTCGGGGCCAAGGGAGAGACAATCTCAACGATTTTTTTTTTAATTAGCTGGCTAACGCCTGCTCGTTTTGAAGCATGGGGAGTTCTACCTCCATCTTGTCGTACCGCATAATTTAAAACCTGATCGTCGATCTCAACGTTCCTGCTGCCGCGTGACGACATCTTGCTTAGATGTGGAGATATTAAATATCACCGTTGTGGCAAACCGGATTTTCAAGCGAAAGGTGAAGTGTTGGCTAAACCTCCTCCAGCGTCCCAGTGCAGAGGTGACATTCATCTTCACTCTTCTGGGAAGAGTGCGAGCTCTCTATGCTGGCGGACTGGCGGAAGTTTCCGCCGTGGCTTGCGCGTTCAGAATCCTAAACGCAGATGATTCGGCGGTCACACATGTTGCAAAGTCAGCGCTGGAGGAAGTCGTCCGGTTGAAAATACCATGTACGTCTAGTAAAGCAGACATTGTCAGGTAGCCACTTTCGGGCTCGCTCGAGGGAGAAATGGAGCTGCCGTTTAGTCGCTTATCTTTTTGGTTCCGGTTTTGATCGGCCGCCTTGAGATTCGCGAAAATGTTTGGATTGCGAGTTCTTGCTGAGTACCCAGTGTAAACCTTCAGCATAAACCTCCAGTTACCAAGAAAATCATTGGCCGAGTTTTATGGCCGGAGAGTAAGTATATTCGCTTTGCAGACTGGCACTTTGTGCACCGTGTGCACCTTGGATTGGACCCTTAAATTGGTCCCTTTAAATGGGGTGCGTTGATGGAGTGACGATGACCGGAGATGCCAGCGATGCAGATATCTGTCGGAGACCTTGTCCCATGTGCGGTCACCACTGCGGCCACCACGTGGTTGCTTTGCAGTTGCGCCATTGTCAAGAGGCTTGTTACTGCCTCCAGGCTCCCTGCGATGGTCAGGGTGAATCAGCGAGTTTCGGGCGTTTATCTCCCGACATTGTGATGACGCACGAGCCGTCGAAGATTGTTTTCATTATAGATGTGACCGTGCTATTCAAAAGTAACTTTGAAGAACTTCAAAAAGCGAGGGAAAAAAATCATTAATAATCAGCCCCTTGCCGAAGCGTTGACAAGGTCACGTTATCT